TTCTGAACAGACATTTCTTAGTAAGTTGATTACAGATCTGGGGTCGTCACTCCTCATGATGGCACTGCCAGACACAATCATGTTAGCTCCTGCCTGCAAGAAGCACACAGCTATGTTAGCGTGGAAGAAACCAGTACAGAAGTCCTGGAGTAGCCTGTCCACCCTTGGCTCTGCCAGTGCTTCCCAGAAGCTGACTGCAGCACTCTAATTCACTGAGTTACGAAGGGAAAAGGTTTATATATAAGGCCACACAATTATTTGTAAATGTGTCTACCAAGTCACTGAACTAGTGGGTTAATTAGTCCTGAGATGCATACAGTACTGTTGCCAATACTTAAGAGCTTTGAACTTTTAGATCCTCAATTCCATTTAGGTCTTTCCTAACATACCAATGACCCCAGACACTAAGGCCTGTAGACACTGTAGCTGTTTGTTTCTAGGAAGTCTGAAGGGAGTCAATGGAAAACGAGAAGCTATCCACAAAACACTGGGAACTCGGTGCCTTGTCATTTTGTGTCAGAAAGAATGTAAAAATGTGTCTTTATGCTTTCTTAGACTCCAGCATGGCTTACAATGCTTTAGGAAATTCTCCATGGATGACATTTTTAATGTGGAGGCAAAGAAATGGGGGGTAAGGGGAAAACCCTAAAAAGCTCAAATGAGATAACTCAAAATATAGCTCTGGGCATGGGATCTGAGTGGAGGGAAACCCATTCTGTTGTGTAATTCACTGTTAGAAGCTGGAAAACCATATGCTGAGGAAATTTTTCCAGTGAGACCCAGTCACTGATAGTAGAGCGGCTATTTCCAGTATCATTCTTTAGAATCTATAGGACTATTGATTAAAATGTCTCTTAATTTGAGCAGGACTAGCACCGCAGAACTTAATAGGAACGAATAGCTAATGTGCTCAGTGATCATCTGTCCAGTCATCTTCAAAATACTTATCACTGACTTCTTTTTTTTTTTTTTAAGCTAGGGTCTTGTCACGTAGCCCATGCTGGCTTGGAACTTACAATTCACATTCCTCCTGTCTTTCCCATGTCTGCATTCTCAGTAACTGCCAAGCTCTCGATGGTTTGTATTTGGCAGAATAAAAATGAACCATGAGACTTATTATCACCTGCAGTTCTCCAGGAAGGGCTGCCAACTAGTGACCATGTGACCTGCAGTTCTCAGGGCTGCCACCTTGTGATAACCAGGAACAGAAAGAACTAAGTAGGGTAGCTCCCTAGACAAAACAGGCTTAGTTTGGCAAATGGGAACTAGGCCTTGATTTTCAACAGAAGTAAATCTAGTCATTTCTTCTAAGACACAAGCAGGCAGCTAGGACTTTAAATCCTAAGAGCAGCATGATTGGGTAGTTAAATTTCTCTGTGTGTCTTCAGTCAGGAATGTATCTTTTTAAAGAACTTAATGGTTTTGTGATGGGCTAACAACATTCAACACACTCTTTCTGGAGACCAGAGTTTACTATTTAACAATTTATATATTTAGAAACTCTCTTGTTCTTTACTTTCCTAATCCTACATTTGAACCAAAAATATTTTCCCAAGAAAAACATCCACTTGAGCAATTCTTTGGCGACAAGCCTGTCCCGCAGATTGCTCTCCAGGAGCAATCACAGTTGAGGGGCAGTCTCACCTCCGCACACTTCTGAACAGTGTCAGGACCTACTCCACCATCGACCTCTATATCCAGAGTTGGGAACTGGGTCCTCAACCAGTGAACCTAGACATACACGAAGAAACAGTGACTCCTACAGTGGACAGGCAGGGGAAAGCAACCAACCTCACAAAGCGTCACCGCTGACACAAGCTTAGCACATACATAACATTATTGGGGTCACTTTCAATAGACTGAAGCAGATTATGTTTATAAAAGTAATGTAGCAAATGACATTCAACTTGTAATAGCTTTGCAAAGACTCTAATGAAAACTCTCAAGTGACCCTAGGTCATAAAAGTTTTAAAACTTTGCAATATAGTTAAAATATTAGATTTTATTTTAAAACCTATCATAGTGTATTACAGTATCTGAAGGCATCTATCTGTATTACAGTATCTGAACAGTATCTGTTCCCTCATCTCCAAATCAGGCATGTCTCAATGACACATGATACAATTATGTCTACTGAATACACATTTATAATAGAAGCCTAACCCAGAACAGAATATTTCTTACCTTTGGCATCATATCCTCCATGAACTTCTGGCCTCCGAACCCAGGTTCTACCGTCATTACCAAGGCCATATCTATTTGATTAGCCCAGGGGGC